GCGTGGTGGGCGGGCTGCTCTACGCCGTGGGCGGCCGCAACAACTCCCCTGACGGCAACACTGACTCCAGCGCCCTGGACTGCTACAACCCCATGACTAATCAGTGGTCGCCCTGCGCCCAGATGAGCGTGCCCCGCAACCGCATCGGCGTGGGTGTCATCGACGGCCATATCTACGCGGTGGGGGGCTCGCACGGCTGCATTCACCACAACAGCGTGGAGAGGTAGGTGGCGCCATCTGGAGGACTGGCGCCTGCCTCCATCAAGCACTAGCTGATGGCCCCTTCAGGACGGCGGGGATTCTCCCCAAGGCAAAATTTGGTATTTTGAGACAGGGTCTCACTATGTATCAGGCTGAACTTGAACTCACTATGTTGCCCAGGCTGGCTTCCGACTGCAGAGATCCTCCTGCCTCGGCCTCCTAGGTGCTGGGATGACACGTGCAGCACGCCTGGCTTCTCCTTAATGCTGAGTGTCTGCTTCCTGCCTTCAGGAAATGGGAGCTGGGAAGGCGAAGCTATGAACTCCTGGGAAATGGGTAGCCAGTGACCTTGGACCCCGTATCAGGGGCTGGGACTTCCCGATGGGACTTTCCCAGACCCATATGGCTCCTTTAAAGCCTGGTGTTGTGGCGCACACCTGTCACCCGAGCACTTGGGAGGGTGAGACAGGAGGATCCCAAGTTCCAGCCCAGCCTGGGCAACTTAGTGATTTAGCAAGGCACTATCTCAAAATAAAGATGAAAAGGGATGAGGGTGGAGCTCAGTGCCAAGGCCCTGGGTTCCATCCCCAGCCCCCTCCCCAGAAGCCCCCAAAACAGAGCAGGCTCCCCAACTGATGAGCTGGTAGAAACCTGGACTCCATGGGTTCAGCACAAGCTGCACAGTGGGGATTGAGCCCGTGCGCAAGGCTTCTAATGTGTGTGGTCCATGAATAGGACGGTGGTGGTGCGTCACCCTCAGCAGGCCACTTTCAAGAAGGAAAGGGACACTATTAATAACTCCAGGAACACAGGTACGAACCAGAAGTGCCTGGGCCGAAGGGACTTGCGGTCGCCCACCTCTGTCGCTGCGCTGTGAGGAAAACCCCCGGGCAGTAGCCAGGTGCTTGCGCCGGGGTCCTGGAGTCAATGCCAGGGCCACTGCCCCTCGGTGACCCTGGAGAGGCCTGGCCCCTTTCTGGGTCTGCGTGTCTTCCTCCGTAGTGTGAGGGACATGGAGGGCTGTGTTGGTTTCACACATTTAGCGCTCAGCCTGACACCAGGCGATGGGCAGCGTGACCTTGCTTGGCTGTGAGTCTAGAGATGGAGCCATGATTCCTCCCTCCTTGGAGACGGGGTCAAGTGTGAGCCGGGAGTGGTGGCCCACGCCTGTCATCCCAGCACTCGGGGAGGCTGAGGCAGGAGGCTCGCAAGTTTGAGTCCCTCCTGGGTAACTTAGGGAGTCCCAATTTATTGTCTCTAAATAAAAAGAGGCTTGGGGATGGAGCTCAGTGCTAGAGCGCTCCAGGTTCCAACCCAGGCACCACCAAAACCTAAAAAAGTTCAAGTGTGTAGAAAGCTGGGGAGCCCCGGCGCCCCAGCCTGTGTGCCCGTGGAGGCCGTGGTGTCGCCATGATGCCCGTGTCCGTTGCAGGTATGAGCCTGAGCGGGACGAGTGGCACTTGGTGGCCCCGATGCTGACCCGGAGGATCGGTGTGGGCGTGGCTGTTGCGGGTCACCCGGGGGCGCCGCCTCAGTCCCAGCCCCGCGGCGCAGGCAGAGAAGCTCCGACTCCCAGGCTCCACGCCTCTCTCCCCTGCCTTCCTTTCTTTTTCTTTTTGGAGTACTGGGATCACTGATGGCTCACGCACGCTAGGCAAGCATCCCCCGCTGAGCCACAGCCCCCCCGCCCCGGCCCTTTTTATTTTTATCGGGTCACCCGGGGGCGCCGCCTCAGTCCCAGCCCCGCGGCGCAGGCAGAGAAGCTCCGACTCCCAGGCTCCACGCCTCTCTCCCCTGCCTTCCTTTCTTTTTCTTTTTGGAGTACTGGGATCACTGATGGCTCACGCACGCTAGGCAAGCATCCCCCGCTGAGCCACAGCCCCCCCGCCCCGGCCCTTTTTATTTTTATTTTGAGACAGGATCTAGCTAAGTTACCCAGGCTGGCCTCCAACTTGCGGTCCTCCTGCCTCAGCCTCCCAAGTAGCTGGGATCACAGGCATGCGCCACCGCGCTTGGCTCCTGGCTTTGTTTCTAAGGGGTTCCTCAAGGCTGGGGAGAGGCGAGAGGGAAGGTGGTGGCTGGGGTCCCCCAAATCCAGACTCCAGAGTGACCTCTCCCGCTGGGTGTGGTTTAGGAGTCTGTGTGTTGCACAACTGTATCTACGCTGCCGGGGGCTATGACGGTCAGGACCAGCTCAACAGCGTGGAGCGCTATGACGTGGAGACGGAGACCTGGGCTTTTGTGGCCCCCATGAAGCATCGGCGAAGTGCCCTGGGGATTACTGTGCACCAGGGGAGAATCTATGTCCTTGGTGAGACCCTGGAGGCGGAGGCAGGGTCTAGGCTGACCCCTCTTTTTAATGTTTTTGCTGCTGGTGATTGAACTCAGAGCTTTTGCGCTGAGCTACACCTCTGGCTCTTTATTAATTTTTAATTTTGAGAGAGGGTCTCACGGAGTGTCTTAAGTTGCCAAAGGACTGGGCTCCAATTTGGGACCCTCCTGTCTCAGCCTCCCATGGTGCTGGGATGACACACGTGCACCACCACACCTGTCCCTCTTCTTTCTGTCCTCAGAGATGGCACGAGTAGTGACTGTCCCCTCTGTTCTCCCTGCAGGAGGCTACGACGGTCACACGTTCCTGGACAGCGTGGAGTGCTACGACCCGGACACTGACACCTGGAGCGAGGTGACCCGCATGACATCCGGCCGGAGTGGGGTGGGCGTCGCCGTCACCATGGAGCCCTGCCGGAAGCACATCGACCAGCAGAACTGTACCTGTTGAAGCACTTGGGCTTCTAGGGCAAAAGGAGAGAGAGAGAGAGAGAGAGAGAGAATGGTCTGACCCACAGCATTGTTTTCATGCATAAAACAGGGACAAAAAAAAGTGACAGCAGATCCCCGTCCTCCAGGAGGGGCTGGGCACCTTCACATGCAGGTGGCAACCAGAAAAGAGCGACCAGAGCCGGAAGCCACGTGCCCCCAGTCGCCTGGGAGCGTCCACGCAGCAGCCTGGGACGGGGCGAGGAGACTGGGCCACCACCTGCTGCCACCTCCCTTCGGGGTGCAGGTGCCACTCGAGGCTGGTTTTGTTCCTTGTGTCTTTGCAGTCAGCGCCCATAGCTCCAGGCAGGGGCCAGGTGAGGCCTCAGGCCGAGGTCCCACGAGAAACATGGTCCCCAGGGCTGGGTCCCTCCAGAAAAGCCACCGGTGACTCAGCGGGGGCGGTTGTTCTATTGATAAATAACCCTGTAAGTTTCCAATGAAAATAAAGAACAGACTAACACTGTCTTCCACCCAGGCATGAGCACAGACTGGGAGCCCTGGGGACAGGAGTGACAGAAAGCTTTTCTCCTGAAATACAGGGGGCCCCTTGGATATAGGGCGGGGATTTGAAACCACCTTATCTCAGCTTGTCAGATTTTACTGTGTAGGGCGTCTCCCATGGGTGAGCCACGAATCTGTCCCTCAATTTTGAAACCAGTGACCTAACTCCTTGTCACCTCCAGGGCCTCCAGAGATCTGTTTTGTATGCATGGCACAGTTTACTTTGATTTGTTTGTTTGTTTGTCCCCCCACCCCTGCTACGTAGCCCAGGCTGGCCTCAAACTCAGTGGCAATCCTCCTGCCTCAGCCTCCTGAGTGTTGGGATGACGGGCGTGCCATCGTGCCCACTCAGCACAGTTTACATTTTTTAAAAGCAGAACATTTGTGGCTTCACTTTAGGCATACATAGTGATAACACTCATGGCGGGCAATCTGTACCTGTCCATGACACATCCCTCCTCTTGTTTCCCAACCTCCTCCCCTCCCTATGTATGAAAGCTCTGTTTTCATTTTTCCTTCTATTTTCACTTGTTTTTGTCCCTCCCTCCCTTTTTCCTACCCTCCTGTCTTGTTCCCCTTCCTATTTGAACACTTTCTCGCCGTTTCCCAACATCCATTATACATCTCAGTCCTTATTTCCACATTCAGTTTCTCACACCAGAGAAGCAGTGTGGTATTTAAACGTGTCTGATTTATTTCACTTAGGAGTGTGGTCTCAAGGTCCATCCATTTCGCTAGAAATGTCTGAAGCTCACCCTTCTTTGTGGCAGAGTAGTACTCCAGTGTGTAAAAAACCGTATCTTCTTTATCCGCTCATCAGTTGATGGGCATCCGGGCTGTCCTCGGGGTTTAGCTATTACAGACTGCGCTGCTGTGAACACAGCACAGTTTGCATTTTAAGACAAACCATCTCAAATATACTTTCTGAATTTTCTGACAATCTGGTCATTTTTTTAAAGTGTAAGACTGTTTAACTTTACAAACATTTCAGCATTCCAAATATACAAGAAAAGTAACAACATCAAAAGTTGCATTTGAATGTGGAAGGTTCTTAAATCTTCATCGATCGGTTGCTCCTTGCTGACTACCAAGAGTTCTACAGCTTGTTTAAAAACTAAGAGTTTAGGGGGCCGGGGATTTAGCTCAGCAGTCCTGCCATCTGCCTTGCAAGCACAAGGACCTAAGTTTGATGCCCAGCACCAAAAAAACAAACAAAAACAACAACAAAAAAAAACCCTAAGAGTTTAAATCTACTGCACTTAACAAGAAAAACAGAAATCCAAACACTTCTCATGCCAACAATCCAGCCTTTTTCTGGAAACTTGATTTTATCTAGGTGCTTTTGGTTTTGTTCTTGTTTTCTGGTGTGTGTGTTAACGGGGATCAAACCAGGGCCACTCCTCTGCCCCCAGAGTGCTTTGGTGCAGACTCTGATCCCAGCAAGCTGCTGGGGGAGAGGTTAGAGGCCCCAGTCAGAGCAGGGAAAGTTCCAGAAATCCCGGAAGCGTCTAAGCACAGGCGAAGGCTGTGCCCAGGATGCATTGCCACAGGGGTTGCAGCCCCAGTACAAAGCCAGGTTTAACTGACTCAGTCTCAGCACTGCAGACCAGCCCCTGAGTGTACTTAGCTGCAAAAATGATACCTGGGACACGTGCTGGGTTGTTAGGCCTTGTGTCAACTGCTGCCCCAACACAGGTGGGACTTGCTTGCTTTTTGTTGTTTTTTGGTTTTTTGAGATGGGGTCTCACTATGTAGTGAGACTGCCCTGGAACTCACTATGTAGCCCAGGCTGATCTCGAACTCACAACCATCCTCCTGCCTCAGCCTCCCGAGTGCTGAGATTACAGGTGTGTGCCACCACACCTGGCTTTGCTTGCTTTTTTTTTTAGGACAGGGTCCCAATATGTAGCTCAGGCTGTCCCTGAACTTGCAGCAAGCCTCGTGCCTCAGCCTCCTGAGCAGGATGACCGACTTCTACAGGTTTGCCTGGAACTGTCTCCATTTGAACATTGAGAATCCCTCAGCCCTCATTAAAGCAGAACCAGCTGGGTGTGGTGGTGTACACCTGTCATCCCAGCACTCTGGGAGGCTGAGGCAGGAGGATCTCAAGGTGGAGCCCAGCCTGGGATATTTAACAAAACCCTGCCTCAAAATAAGAAGGGGCTGACCATGTTGTTCAGTGTGAAGGCCCTGGATTCAATCCTCAGTAGCCTCCAAAAAATCCCAGAACCCCATTGGTCACAAGACAGGCCAGCCAGGGGCTGGGGCTAGGATGCAGCTCCCCACCAGCCCTCGTGGAGCATGCATGCAAAGGCCCTGGGTTCCATCCCAGTTTAGGGGTGTGGGGAGGCAAGGACATGGGGGTCCCCCAATGGAAGCGATGATGCCAGGAAGGACAACGTCAAAAAGAGCAGTTGAAGCCGGGCACCGTGGCGCACGCCTGTCATCCCAGCACTCGGGAGGCTGAGGCAGGGGGATCGCCGTGAGTTTGAGACCAGCCTGGGCTGCACAATGAGTTCCAGGTCCGCCTGAACTACATAGCGAGACGCTATCTAAAAAAAAAAAAAAAACAAAACAAATGTACTGTATGCCTAAAATGTACCAGTAAACTCAATGAAGAAAAAAAAAACAAAAACACACTAAAAAGTAGGAAGCACGCTAGGTGAAAAAAAAAAGTGACACAAAGGTCACTTCTTCTGTCCCACTTGCAGCTCCCTTACCGGCTGGTCCAGCCCTCAGGTTCCAAAGGCGAAGCGGCTGCGCTCCTCATTGGTGCTTTCTCAGCTGATAACAACTATGTCAGCCAATTGCAATACAGAGAGAAATTCTCCCCCTGGTCCTTGCGCCACGCCTTTTCCCTTCTGCGCGTGCGCTGCTTCCTGATTCTTCTGTAGCTGCCCAGATCACCTCTAGGGGGCATTCGAAGACTTGTGTTCCCAGTCCGGCTTCCACTGTCTGTGCCCCTGACAGGTTTTTTTTTTTTTTTAATTTTTTTTTTTTTAGACAAAGTCTCACTGTGTACTCCAGACTGGTCTTGAACTCATTGTATTGTTCCGGCTGGCCTCGAACTCTTGGCGATCCTCCTGCCTCAGCCTCCCGAGTACTGGGATGACCAATGTGCAGCACCACGCCTGGCATGGATCTCTTAATCTCACCTGAAAGACTGCTAGTATTTGAGGATAAAACTGAGGATTGAACTCAGGGCTTTTGCACTGACCTACATCCCCAGCTCCCATTTTATTTATTTACATATATATATATTTTTTTGTTGTTGTTGTTTGTTTGTTTTTGTTTTTTGAGACGGTTTCACTATGTAGTTGAGACTGACCTGGAACTCACTATGGAGCCCAGGCTGGTCTCAAACTCACTCCTGCCTCAGCCTCCCGAGTGTTGGGATTATAGGAGTGCGACACCAGGCCCAGCTATTTTTATATTTTGAAGCAGCATCTCACTAAACCACTAAATTGCCCATCTAGGCCTTGATGGTGTACAGTGCACACCTGTAATCCCGGCTCTCGGGAGGCTGAGGCAGGAGGATTGTCAGGAGTTTGAGGCCAGCCTGGACTACACAATGAGACCCTGATAGCAACTTGAGAGAATGAGCGGATCTGGCCCTTGCCCAGGTCCCTTCGGCCGTTCAGATAACAGGGCCTTGTGGCAGTGCCCTCGGTCACCTTTGCCTGGGACAGATGAACTCCCCACTTGGGAAATTTAGAACCAGCTGATGGTCACATGCCACCACGCCCTGTGACCCAAATTCTTAGTCGGCCACTGGGTGCCAACAGGAGAGGTGTTCGGGACACGACTTCTGCCCTTTTGCATTTGGAGAAACTGAGGCTAGGAGCAACAAGACCTGGCCACACCGACATCTCCTGCAGCCCGCGTCAGCAGTCGCCTTCCGATCCCAATCCCTGACCCAGTGTCCTTTCCCCAGCTCTGCTTCCTTCGCAACTCTCTCTGGACAACGTCTGGGTCTCCTTGTTCTTGCACAATGCTCGGACATTCCACCGACTTTTCCCATTTTATTTCTCCCCTCTGAGTCCAGGCTGCCTCCTATTCCTTGGGGGAGGGGGCCTGTTATATCTACGGGGAACTTTTTTCTTGTCCTGGGGTTTGAACTCAGGGTCCGCCCTCTTTAATCGTTGAGACAGGATCTTGCTAAATTGCCCAAACTAGGCTCAAGCTTGGGATCCTCCTGCCTCAGCCTTCCAGCGTGTTGGGATTACAGAAGGGCCACCACTCTCAGTTTACTGGGAACCTCTATAGCCACAATCCAGGAGGGAGCTCTGTAAACCTTTCCATGAGCTCCCTGGCCTAAGATCCACAACCACACGGCCTGGTACAGTAGCCGCTGGCCACATGCGGCCGCTTCATGTAAAGGAAAATTAAAATTCCAGCCCTTGAATAGCACTACAGTAGTAGTACAGCACCAGTGCCCACCAGGACAATGGCCCGTGGCTGACTTGCTCTGTAATGCAGATTCAGAGCAGTCCTATCATGGAAAGTTTCCCTGGACTACCCTGCTCTCAGGCGGCTTCACAGGTATGGGAATGACGTCATAGCCCTTTCCCTTAAGTGCCCGGATGGAAGTCAGGGCCTTGAGAACGCTGAGCATGAATTCTACCTTGAGTTGCACCTCTAGCCCCCATTTTACGTGTGAGACAACTGAAGGTGAGAAAGATCACCCTCAAGCTCACCCAGCTATGGCTGGAGGAAAAAATGCCCAGGTTCCCATGCCAGGCATGGTGGTGCAGACCCAGCACTCTGGGAGGCTGAGGCAGGAAAACTGCAAATTCAAGCCAGCCTGGCCAATTTAGTGACTCATCAAGACCCTGTGTCAAAATAAAAATAAGCCAGGCATGGTGGCACATGCCTGTGATCCCAGTCCTTGGGAGGCTGAGGCAGGAGGATCCCTGTGAGTTCAAGGCCAGCCTGGGCTACATAGGAGACACTGTGTCAAAACACCCCCCCCCATACACAGAGTAATAATAAAAATACATAATAAAAAGGGTTAGGGATGTAACTCAGTGTGAAGACCCCATGTTCAATCTTCAATCTTCTTCAATCTTGTACTGAACAAAAACAAACTCCCCCCACCCCCCCCAGTAAAAACAACCTTGCATAGCTCGGCCTGGTAATGCACAGTGCATGTCTGGCATTCACTGGCTTCTATTCTCACCAAGGGAAGAAAAAAGCTTCCTGGACAAAGGGGCTCACGCCTGTAATCCTAGCTACTGGGGAAGCTGAGGCAGGAGGGTCACAAGTTTGAGGCCAGCCTAGCAAGATCCTTTCCCAAAGTAACAATGAAGCAAAAAAAGGACTAAGGTGGACATAGCTCAGGCACAATGCTTGCCTAGAATGAAGCCCTGGGTTCCACCCCCAGAAGAGGAGAAAAAAAAAAAAAAAGACTGCATACTGCATACTCTGATTTTTGTTTGCTTGGTTTTTTTGTTTTTGTTTTTTGAGACAGGGTCTCCTTATGTAATTCAGGCTGGGCTTAAACTGTGTAGCCCAGCCTGGTCTCAAACTTGAAGTGATCCTCCTGCCTCAGCCTCCTGAGTGCTGGGAACACAGGCATGCGCCACCACACTCAGCTAGTCTGAATTTCTGTGACAGCCTTGAGCCCCTGTCCCTGGACCATGCCCAAGGTTGGAAAACAGGGTTGAACTCATTTCAGTTCCATGAATTGCAAATTTTCCATCTGTTGAGGAGGGGCAGGGTCAAGGCCTGCTTTTGCCCCAGACCCAGGCTGACTCTGCGAGAGGGAAGACACAGTCACCAGGCAGGTGGGAAATGAAGCCACAGCAGCCAGGACGGTCGGTGAAAGCCTCGGTTTAATTGGTGACAAGACTGGAGAACTTAACCATCGATGGCTGGAGAGGGAACACACCAGCAGCTCTCGGGCCTTGTGAGGCGGGGTCACCTGGCCAGTGCCCCGGCGTCTGGGGAAGGCACAGGGCGCCCGCTCTACTCAGCCCGGGAGCCTGAGGTGTCACCATGGCCCTACACCCCAGGAGTCCGCCCTTCTGGGGGATGTGGTGATTTGTATAATACAGCAGGGATTGGGCCTCCACTGGAGACCCCTCTCCCCTTCCCAACTGGGTCAGCAGGGAAGGGCGAGTGTATGTTCCCTTTTGCCTCTGGAGAGTAATTTACAAACCGACCTTACAGTATGTACAAAAAGAAAAAAAAAAAGAAAAGAAAAGAAAAGAAGGCCCATTCGGGAGTCATCGGCTGGGACAGGAACTACTTTCGCTACAAAAATGAACCCTGTACAGCAGTAGGGGGACGGGGACAGACAGACGGCAGGCTGGGGAGAAGTGGGGGCTACAGTACTGTGTGCTCAGAGTTGGGGGGAGGAGACGCGTGATAAGCCTCCGCCCGGCCGGGCTGCAGAGCCAGACTGAGGGGCACAGGGACGGGGGAGAGGGGGTTCTTTCCTTCCCTGCGGTCCCCCATGGCTTGGAGAAGATGGCCTTCATCTGTCCGTCATATTGCTCAGGGACTAGCTGGGGACAGGGGACGGGGGAAAGGGGTGCCCAGGGTGGGGGATGTGGGCATACACCGTTATTGCTTCCTTTCAGGGCAAAGAGGTGGCGGCGAGGTGGGAGTCGGAGAGGGGGTTCAGGAGGACACTGTGGGGTGCGTGGCCGCCAGGGGTGGGGACTCTGGGTGCAGGTGGGAGCCAGCGCGGCCCCGTCTCCTCTGGCCACAGGATCTTTAAGGCAGAAACAAGAGGAAAAGCAGCGGGAAGGAGGGCCGGGGTGTTCGTGCGCGCATGCGCGATGGGAAACTCCCCTCCTCCAATGCAAACTGGAGATTTCAAAGTGAACCCAGAGGGGGCGCGGAGGGAGGCGGTGGGCAGAGGGCATCAGGGCCCGCTCTCCGCTCTCAGGCCTGGCGACCACCGGCCCCCTGCATCAAGAGAGCAGCTCCACCGACCCCGAATATGGCTAGGATTGTGCAAAAATGAAGCCGGAGACTTGGTGGGGAGGGAGAGCGAGAGGCTTCCGCAGCGGCCCCCTGCCCCGCCGGCCCTGCCCAGATGGCTACTCCGGCTGGGTGCTCGAGCCCCCCCAAACCTCAGAAGGAAAGCCGGCAACGAGGCCCCCCATCCGGGTTTGGGTCCAAAAGAGGAAGCCCAGTGGCCGGAAGACGAAGGCTGAGACCTGGGGGGTGTGGAGGGAGGAGAGGGGTTTGGAGGTGTAAAATGGGGAACCAGGAGTGGCGTGGGGGGCATCTACAGTTGCTGTGTTTCATCCTTTTTTTTTTTTTTTCTGATTTTTGTTCTTTTTTCTAAAAATGTTACAATTAAAATTCAAAAAATAAAATCCGTTCTGGGACCTCGACCCCTTGCTCCCCGGCCCCCACCTCAAAAAAAAGGCCCCATGGGTGGGGGGAAAGGGGAAAAAAAGAAAAGAGAAAACCCCCCACTTTTCTGTTTTCTTTTTTCTCAAGAGGGCCAAGAGTCTTCGAGGCAGCGGAAGAGGTGGTCGGTAGGGAGTGGGGGACGCGGGCATCGGGGTGACCGGGCTGTGGCTGCTCAGGGAGGGTCCCCGCCTGACTCCCACCCGCCCGGAGCCGGGAGGAAGACTGGGTCCTCCCCTTGCGTCCCCGCACACGCGCAGCAAGCCCTCTTGGCGGCCTGATGATCTCTTTGGGCCCCCACCTCGGCCGCCATGGAGGGGAGGCCCGGAAGGCCCGGGGAGTCCTCTGGCGTGAAACGGGTCCTCAAGGCAGGCAGGAGGGACAGATCGCAGCTCCCGGCGTCCATGGACTCCTGCGCCAAGCCCAAACCCAGTGGCGACTGCCCTGTCTCAGCCTCCTGGCCCTTGAACTTCACTGGCTCCTCAGCCCTGGATGAGCCCTGAGCTTCCAACAAATCCTGGGCTGGGGATGCCTCCTTCTCCTCCTCCTCTTCCTCCTCCTCCTCCTCCTCTTCCTCCTCCAGCGTCAGCTCAAATTGGAACTTATCGGGTGGGGCGGGGTGGCCAGGCCCGCGGGGCTCCTCCTCCGGGGGCGGCGATGGGCTCTGCCGGATGGCGCTGTAGTACCAGTCCCTGTTGTCCTCCAGCGTGTCCAAGATGTCCTGCGCGTCTGGGTGCACCAGGTCCGCCCACGTCTCCCACAGCGGGTGCACGATGTAGTCGATGAAACCCACCTAAGGCAGAGGGGAGGAGGGCTGAGCAGGAGACTGCAGGTGGACGGCACCACTAAATGCCCTGGAGCATAGGTGCACTCCAGGAATCCCTGCATTCTACGAGGCTGAGGCAGGAGGATACAGGTTCAAAACCTACCCAAACAGCTTCAGGAGACCTTGTCTCAAAATTAAAAACAAAAACAGCCAGGCATGGTGGCGCAGGCCTGTAATCCCAGCACTTGGGAGGCTGAGGCTGGAGGATCGCTGTGAGTTCAAGGCCAGCCTCAACTACATAGTGAGTTCAAGGTCAGCGTGAACTACATAGCAAGACCTTGTCTCCAAATAAACAAACAAACACACATAAGTGAGCTGGGGGTGTCGCTCCATCTGGGGAAAATGCTCTTGGGTTTGATCCTTAGCGCCACAACATAAATGAAATACACGCATAGGAACTCTTCTGTATAAACTTCAATTGAGGATCTGTTAGGAAAAAAATCAGGGTATACCATAGATATTTATTATGGCAGCTATGCAACAAAAAGAAATTAAAGGGCCAAGGATTTAGCTTAGTGGTGCTGCTGCCTGCCTTGAAAGTGCAAAGTCTTGATATCTGGTACCAAAAAACAAACAACCTGGAAATTAGGAATTTCGTGGCAGAATGCTGTGGGATACTTTTTTTTTTTTTTTTTTTGGTCCTCAGCCCTCATCTTCCCTTCTGCCAAGTGACACAACCTTGACTTTTCTTGTGGGAGGCAACATGTCCAGATCATAACTACATTTCCCAGCATCTTTTGCAAAGAGACAGCGGCCATATGTAGCTGACTATAGCGGGAAATGTCTGGGGGCTGCCTCTACTGGCAAAGGGCTGCCCTCACTGGAATGCAGCCAAAATGGCTGGAGCTTTGCCCTCATCTGTGACCAGAAGAGGTATTCCTCTCACACATTTGATGGCAGAAAAAAAAAAAAAATGTCCCCCAGGGTACTTGTGAAAAACCTGCTGTCCCAGTGCCAGATTCCTGTTTTTTAGTTAAAACAGTTCCTGTCTTTTATTTAAGTGAGAGAAAAAAATTCTTTATCTTATTTAAATCAGTATGAATTTCTAACTGCTAAACACCTACATATACATTAATGGGAAAACAACTGAATAGCTATATTCAATACCATACAGAAGTGGAAAAAAGATGAACTAAATTTATGTGCAGTGACTTAGAAAGATTGCTAAGTCACTGTTGGAAAGAAAAAGCAAACTGAGTAAAAATAGATGTGTGAGGGCCAGACATGGTGGCACACCTATAATCCCAGAACTTGAAGGCTGAGGCAGGAGGATCGCTTTGAGTTCAAGGCCAGCCTAAACTACACAGGAAGACCATGTCTCAACAACAACAAAAAAGATGTGTTAGCTGGTTTGGGTGATGCATGTAATCCCAGGACTCTGGGAGGCAGAGGCAGAAGAATTCCAACTTGAAGCCCAGCCTGGAGATAATGCTTATTTAACAACACACCATCTTAAAAATAAAAAGTCTCTAAAGGAAATATAAAAAAGGTTCAACCCCTGGTACCAAAATAAATAAATATAAAAAAGGACTGGGGATGCAGCTTAGCGCAAAGGCCCTGGTTTCCATCTCTAGTGCTGAAAAAAAAAACAAACAAAACAAAACAAAAAAGAAACACGTGACACCGTGGAGAGCAGACAGGACCTCACATCCAGGGCACCTTATATCACCACCCCAGCCTTGTACCTGCGACTTTTCCACCGAGGCTGTGTGCTTGTCACACATGGGACTGATTTCCATGCCCCGCTCACGTTCGCGGTCGCCCTGCTGGAAGAACTCGGCCATGATCCGATCCGTCCACTGGCGGTACAGCTCTAGCGGCTTGGTGGGGTTGCTGAGGTCTGCACAGTGCACCATGTTCCGAAGGACCTGCACAGGGTGGGGACATGGGGGGACCTTCAGAGCCATCCCTATTCTGGCCTGGGGGCTGGGGTTGGTGGAGGAGAGGAAGTAGGGGGAGAGGAGTGGCGAGATGGAAAGAAGAGGGTTACAGCCAGGCGGGGCGGTGCAGGTCTATAATCCCAGCACTCGGGAGGCAGAGGCAGGAGGAGTACCGAAAGTTCGAGGACAGCCTAGGCTACAGAAGGAGACATTGTCTCGAAAAATAAAAA